AGATCCAGCGAAACACGAGGCCACTGCCAAGAACCATCACTAAGCTAAAAGCCAGCAACCAGCCGTAATAGATGACCCTATCACCACATCTAGGGTGAATCGGACCTCCCGACAGCCAGGAATCATGCCATACAAAACTAAGCTGACCATCACCAATAACAGTACGCACTATATGATAGAAAGAATCACAGATACCCAGAATATCCTGCCAACACCAGGAAAACCGAGGCGAAGGCCGGACAGACTAGATACAAGCTCCCCGTAGAGCATAAGCCTCCACTCAGGCTACTCACAAAGAACCAGCTTGCATGATAAGAAGTCAAAGCAGCTTCATAATAGCAACACAATTCCACGAGGCCAAGTGGCGAACACCCAACCCCCCCTTCTAAAGAGGAAGACATACCTCAGACCAAGCCACCTTCACCCTAAAGGACCCACTCTCGCAACCCTTCCACAAGAAAGAGCAAATGATACGCTTCACCTCATGAACCACCTGGGACGAAAGAACAAAACACACTGGCCCAACAAACTTGAAAACTCTAAAGCACCGAGCTAATTAGCTGTAAACGACCAGCAAAAGAAAGGACACGGGCCGACCAACTTCGAATACGAGCAACAATATTCTTCAAAAAAGGCTTACCATCTTGAAAAGACAACCGACGCGAAAAGACAGGAACTCCAAGATACCTCACTATGAGGGAAGCTACAGAAAAACCCAAGAAAGAAGTCAATGCCTGCACCTTCTCAAAAGGAAGACCTACCCCAAAAAAAGAGCTCTTATGAGTATTAGCAACAAGACCAGTCAGCTCCTCAAACGCCGCCAAAGATGCCCTGATAAAGGAAAGAGAACCAACATCCCCATGCGAAAAGATCATTAAGTCATCAGCAAAACACAGGTGAGTCAAGCCAACCCGATCACACTTTCGGATGATATCGAAACCCCGATTAAGCATACGCGACAACACCTCCATAACCATAACAAAAAGATATGGAGAAAGAGGATCCCCTTGACGTAAACCACGCCGACCTAGAAAATAACCCTCGAGCAAACCATTCAGAGAAATGGAGAACATAGGAGATGTAACACAAGCCCTTATCCAATTCACAAACCGATCAGGAGTCCAAATGGCCAGTAACAAACCAAACAGAAAATCCCAATGCACCGAATCATACGCCTTCTGAAAATCCACCTTAAGCACACAGCGAGGGATACTCTTATTAAGAGGATACCCCCCAACAAGCTCTTGACAAAGCAAAATATTATCCACAATACGCCCCCAGACACAAAAGCATACTGATTCTGACTAATAAAATTGGGAATCCAGACTTTCAACCGATTAGCTAAAAGCTTCGTAAAGCACTTATAAAACACATTACAACAAGAGATAGGGCGGAAATCCCCTAGCCCCGAAGGATTGGGGATTTTAGGAATCAAAGTAATCGACGTAGCATTAACCCCAGAAGCAAAAAAGAAGTATCAAAGAAATGCAACAACGCTTTACAAAAGTCATCGCCCACAATATTTCAAGCCGCCTTAAAGAAGCCCACTAGGGATCCATCAGGACCAGGAGTCTTACCACCACTCATGTTAAACAACAGCTCCCGCACCGCCAGAGAAGTAACAGGACGACACAACTCCACACCACACTCAGGAGGCCACACAAAATCCACAATATCGGCAAGATGGTCAGTAACATCTCTATAGCTCACACACTTAGAACCCGACGATAAAAACTAACCATCAAATGAGCAATCTCAGCACAGTCAGTAACCA